TAAAAAAAAATAATAAAGAAAAACTAATAAAAATATAAACAAAAAATAAACTTTCTAAAGTATGTAAACGTTGAACTAAAAAAAATTACATCTATTTTCCCACCACAGAACGCCTCTAAGAACAAGAAAGAGCAGGAGCGCTACATTGCTTTAATGGATAAGCTACAAGATGAACGTAAGAAACAACAGGAACATGTCGATAAAATTCTACAACGTTTACAACAACAAAAGGACAATTGGTTCCTTTCACGTTCGGCAAAATCTGCGAAAAATGAGACGATTACACAATTTCTGCAGCTGTGCCTGTTTCCAAGGTAGTATTTTTTTACGAAAATTTACTAAACTAATTTCTGACTTTGATAATAAACAAATAACTTTTTTTATGTTTCTAGGTGCACCTTCACTGCCCTCGATGCCCTCTACTGTGCCAAATTCGTGCACACCATACACAACCTGAAGGCTGCCAATTTCTCCACACTACTTTGTTATGATCGGGTTCGTAGGCAACTAATTAGTCGCTATGATATTTTATACACTKATTAGGGTATTTTAAATTTGCAACGAAGTTTTTAACACACAGAATTAAACGTTGGAGACTTTATATATTATATAATAAGTATATAGTCGACTTAGCCACCAGCTTAACCAGCGAAATCGGACCATTAGAAGCTATAGCTGCTATACAAACTGAAGTCCTTGTATGGAAAACTTTTTTATTTTACACGATATCTTCATGAAATTTGGCATGACTTATTATATAAAGMAAAGCTAATAATSTAGAAACAAAATTTTCAGATCGAACTACTATAGCATATAGCTGCCATACAAACAGGTCAATAAAAATTTAGTTCTTGTATGGAAATTTTCTTATTTGTCGAGATATCTTTATGAAATTTTGCTTGGCTTATTGTCCAAAGCAGGGCTAAAAATCTCCCAAAATTTTTTCAGATCGCACTGTTATAGCCTAAAGCTGTCATACAAACTAAAACTTAAAATTTAGTYCTTGTATGGAAAACTTTTTGATTTCATAAGGTATATTCACAAAATTTTACCAAATTGTTCAGATCGGACCGCTATAGCATATAGCCGCTATACAAATTAACCTTTAAAAATCACGATCTTTTATGAAAAGCTTTTTAWTTGTGAAGGCTTTTAAAGTTTCGTYGCAATCGACTTATTTTCTTGTAATAAATAAATTTGTTTTCAGATATTCTGTGACATCACCTACTCGGTCACGTCGTGCACCGAAAACGAGGCCACACGTTATGGCCGTTTCCTTTGCGCCATGTTGGAGACGGTAATGCGTTGGCACGCCGATCAGGCGGTCTTCAATAAGGAATGCGCCAACTACCCAGGTTTTGTTACGAAGTTCCGTGTAAGCAATCAATTCTCCGAAGCGAACGATCATGTCGGCTATGAAAATTATCGTCATGTCTGTCATAAGTGGCATTATAAAATCACTAAAGCCATMGTATTCTGTTTGGACTCCAAAGACTATATGCAAATACGCAATGCGCTCATCATACTCATGCGTATACTACCACATTATCCTGTGCTCGCAAAATTGGCGCAAATTATCGAAAGAAAAGTGGAGAAAGTGCGTGAGGAGGAGAAGAATAAACGTCCTGATTTGTTTGTCATTGCCTCGAGCTACATTGGACAGCTGAAAACGAAAGCCGCGCAGATGATTAAAGAGAGTGATTTYCACCAAGTGACCGAGCGGCAGATGCGCGTTGAATCGGCYACGGCAGCGGCCACGGTGGCAGCGAGCGCCGCAGCTATTGCACCCGCCGTGGCGGGGGCTACACARGYTAATGTGACGGTGGTGGCAGCAAGCAATACCGCCAGCGTTAATGCAAATGTCATTAATTTGGTCGATGTGGCGGCCAAAAATGCGCAGCAAACGGTGCAACAGGCAGGCGCTGCGCAGCACGAAGCTACGCCCGTAGCAGCAAAACAAGTGAGCAACGGTGATGTGAAGAGTGGTGAGTTCCTACACGCTTTTGTCAAACATAATTTAATTTTTTTTCAAATATGACAATATTTTTAGGTGAAAAACGCGAGAAGGAAAAGGTAGTGAAGCAGATTATTAAAATGGAACGTGAACCGATAACGAGCCCTGCTTCGAATAACACAGTAAACGAGCTGGATGCGCGTTCCACAACGGTTTTGCTAAGTGAACGCCACGAACACGGTGAACGCCGCAGCAGCAGTCGCACCTTGAAGGAYGTCAGGAAGGAGGAGCGCACGCGTGAGCGTGAACGCGAACTGCGTGAAAGAGAACGTGAAATGCAAAGGGAACGCGAAAAGGAACGTGAACGTGATCAGCGTGAAAGAGAACGTGAAAAGGAGCGTGAGCAAAGAGAAAGGGAACGTGATTTGCGTGAACGCGAGCGTGAACGTGAACATCGCAGTCACAACGATGAAATCGATTTAGCTGTTGGCGGTGCTGCTGCCATTGGTAGCAGTTCAGCCGGTGGTAGTACYATGATTTCCACGCGTTCCAAACGTGACAAACGACGCGGCGATGAGCGTTATCGCCTAGAGTCGCCAGCTTTGGAGCACATCGAAGTGCTGGAGRGCAAGCATGAGCATCACGAGTATGAACGCGAACGGGATAGAGAACGTGAACGRGAGCGTGCTAGGGATTTGAGTTCAGTTTCGAATGAAAGCAATGGTTCTTCGATGCATCGACGCAGTCAGGATATTATTGAATATGATAAAGGTTAGTAAAGAGAAACAAAAAMCATTAACTTCGATTGCGCAGACGCTGTTATACAGTTCATAAATAAAATCTCATAAAAAGTTCCTTCAGATCGGTCAGTTTGTATGACAGCTATGTATATGCTCTAGTTGTCCGATCTGAAAAGCCTTGCCTTGGGCAATAATCATGTCAAATTTGCTGCAGGTAACTCGTCAAATAAGAAGTTTTTCCATACAAGAACTTAAMTTTGATCTGTCAGCTTGTATGACAGCTACACGCTATAGTGGTCCGATCTGCACAGTATATTGAGAGTTTGTAGCGTGATCTTGGACAATAATACATGTCAAATTTGCTGCAGATAACTCGTCAAATAAAAAAGTTTTCCATACCAGAACTTATCTTTGATTTGTATGTGTGTATGGCAGCTACACGCTATAGTGGTCCGATCTGTACAGTATATTGAGAGTTTGTAGCGTAATCTTGGACAATAATACATGCCAAATTTTGAAAGTATCTTGTCAAATAAAAAAGTTTTCCAGACAAGGCATTGATTTTTTGAGGTTAGTTTAGTACAAATTAAGAAGAAGTTTAGTACAAATATGCTATAATGGTCCTATAGCGCTGATTTTGACAAATGGTCAGCTTCTTGTGGAGAAAATTAAAATATTGACGGTTAATATCCCTTTAGGATAAGCTCTAACGATCACAAAATATACATACATACATACATAAGTTCTCGAATATAACTTTGTAACCCTTCAAATCGCTTTACAGATACGAAACGCCGCAAAGTGGAGGCCACGACAACCTCTTCGTCCAATTCAAAGGTTAGTATTTTGATGCAAACGTAGTTGCTAAGACAGAGAGGCGGCCATTTTGTGGAGTGCAGCAGATGTGACAATGCCCTGCCATTTGACACTACAGTTGTAAATACAAATTTAAGCCAAAACGAAACAACAAATCGCAACTTAAACCACCGCTGTGTAATGCTAACGCTTTTATCAACTATAATACCAACAACAACCACAGMAATATTTATGAAGTGATGCCAGTGGGGGAAGAAGTGAAAAAGGCGAAAAAGTGTTAACAAAACGCAAAGCATTTAAACACCACATAAAAAAAAAAAATAAATAAATACAACAAAATATCAAATAATAYAACCAAAAATAATACAATACAAGGAAAAATAAAATAATACAACAAAAAAACTGTCAATCAATTCAACATCGTSATCAAAAAATAACTATGCAAACCAAAATGTGCGATTAAATCGGCGAAACTTGCAACAACAACTCAAAGTGATGCATCATTGCATTTTTAATAAGCAACACCACAGCGTACATACATATACAAAGCAGCATGTYAAACATGCTGCTTCAAAGCAAAGTTTGCCAAAATGACTGATTATTTGTATAAAAACTGAAAGTTAATTTATTGCATTTAAAATGCTACACAGCAGAATGTTGAGGTTGTTTTTTTTTCTAAATAAGTAGCGCCACTTTAATATGTAAAAAAGAAGCAGAAAAAAATATATTCTTAAATAAGTTTTTTGAAAAGAGTGCAATTTTTGATGAAAACTTAAAAAAAAGAATGTTAGAATTAAATAGTATTTTTTAAATATACATTAAATGCATTCAAATGTGATAAAAATACGTGTATTTATAGTTATTTTTGAAAGAAAAAATGTAAAAACTGGTCAAATTTGTACTTAAGCACTTAAGCATAAGCTTTAGCTGTAAAGTTAGGGTACTTGTTAATTATTAAGTTAGTATATGTATGTGTGTGTCAGAAGAAAACAACGAGCAACTCTGCCTAAAACGACAGTGGGCTATTTGAAGGACGAGCAACTAAGCGGAAAACCATTTTTAAACGCTAAGCAAATCAAATGCATGACACCGCAGCAGAGCTTCACTTTATTAGCTAAGACTTCTGTGTAGTTGGAGACCACATGTAAGCATTTTATGTCAGCGTAAGATTAACGGCGCAGCCTACAAYGTTACGGAGAAGAAAATACATCGAATACAACGCATTTTAGAGCTTGAATGACAACCTGCGCGGCAATTTTTAAGCATAATTTCAGCTTGTGTRACCATTTTGAATGCTGGAAACGCTGGAGTGAACATTCATCAAATTAATTTCTACATTGAAGAAGACCCACTTAGACTCTGATGCTTAAAAACTAAAACAAATGAATTTGGTTGCTCAGTGAGATTAGAAGTTATAATAATTGAGCAGCTGAATTTCACAACAAACAACTAAAAATACAAGAAACAAGTAATAAATCAACAATTGGCGACCACTAGACAACGAGGGAGCAACATACATTCGTTTCCAGAAAAGTTCCAGTTTCAAAATCGGAAGACTCAAACCAATGTTTCAAATTCAGCTAATTGAGACAGTGAACAAGAGGGGATAGGAGATCAGGGACAATTCCAGCCGGTCCCGGAGTTCTCCTCAATAAATTATAATGTAATTAAAACAATAAATTAATGAATCGCAACTCTACATCGGACCCCGATTTTCTATCTTCGAAATTGTATTAAGAAGTAACCCCTGGATATATCTAAATCAACAACTATCGACTACTATTTTTAAAAGAGAATAAGGTCGGAAGCAGATCATTCAGAAAAAAATTATGAGAAGCCCATTAGATGAACAAGCAATTAGCAATTTCTTCAACATGATACTAATTTTTGTGTACTTGGAAACTACTGATGCTGCATACCCATTTTACCATAAGTGGAAGACCAATAGATGAACTCAACATACATATGTTCCACCACAACTAGCAGTTCACGGTTTATTCCGTTCAACYCAAGGGAGACTCTGGTGAATCTAACCCATTAGGATCAGATTGCTGATTTTCGTACAACAAGAACTACATTCATTAACATACTTTCAACAACAACATACTTTTCACCAAAACGAGCGGTTCACGGTTTATCCCGGTCAACCCAAGAGGAGACACGGGAAAATCTAACCCTTTAGGGTTAGTTTGTTGATTTCCGTACAACAAGAACTTCATCTTTAATGATGCTTCAACTAACAAGTAACCAAGTGTACCACCTCTAGTGAATCACCACAGCCTAACGGTTAAAATTTGAGACCCCCAGCAACGCTATTTTTGTGCTATCTTAGTGAAAAGGCATTTAAGGTGCTGCTGACCATGTGCCATCTCTAAAGCGGACCGGAATTCCAAGCTGCAACTATTTTTTCAATACCAAAACACGACTTTMTATATTTGTGACTACCTATATGTCATCTTTAAAGCTTCTGCTACAATAATATGTTCCGTTGAGTCAGCCAAAGGACATCACTATCAACATCGTCACAGCAACCGAGGGTTCATCGTGTACAACATTTAAAATTTATTAAATAAGGAGTACAAATTGCCAAACAAAAAATATTTCCAAACAGTATGGATCGTCTAAACAACGAAAAACACAACATCCTATGAAATAATCAAAACCGCCGTCCATTTTATGAACCTGAGACAACGTGAAACTTAGCTGCAAAACACTTGGTTTGACCACTATTGTGCCTAACCCAAACATCATCATATATTTTCTAAACATTTCGAAGTGTCTTTCTCTCCTTCGCCTGCATACACAATTCTTCTTCTGCAGTTTTGTTGTTTGTCGTTGGTTATAAGCGAGCTGAGGTGATCGAATGGTCGGTAAGTGGGTAGCGGGTGGGTGGAAATTGTATTAAGAGAAAACAAATTGCAATTTATGAGTGAGAGAGATATAGAGATAAAAAAATTACAAAAATGTAAAAATTTAGTTTATAAAAAAAAGCTTTAACCTAAAAATTCATATAGCCAAAAATAGGTTTATATTACTAACAAAAAGAAAAAATTAAAGTGTGTATGCGGAATTTTCTGAAAATGTGATATAATTTAATTTTGTCTAATTACAGAAGCAGATTACAGAAGATTTGATTGAGAGTACAAAGAAAGAACGCGCCATAAGGAATAAAGAACGTAAGGAAAAGCTAACCGAAGAGGAAAAAGATGCACGCAAGGAACGTAAATTGGGACGTAAACGCGAGCGACTCGAGGAGAACTCCTCTGCTGAGCATAAGCGGCGAAGAGAAGGTAGTTATTTTGTCGAACAAAAGTATTTTTTAACGTCAACTCAAATACCGTTATTTTGATTATTTTTTAGTGCAAAATGGCGATGATGATTTGCGCGAGCGGGATAAATATCATACGAGGGTAAACATGCTACTTTTATTTCTACGATTTTAATTTAAAAATTTTTTAATTATTAATTTGAATAATTTATTAATTTTAATAATTAATTTCACTAATTGATTGCAATAATTAATTTGAATAATAAATGTTACTAATTAATTGTAATAATTAATTTGAATAATAAATGTTACTAATTATTTTTTTTTATATAGGAAAAATCACCACACTTGCGCAGCGAGACACGTGAACGTTCGCACGAGAAATTCGAACGCGACCGCAACACACGTGAGGAGCGTTTATATACCTCGAAGTCTACACGCTCGCGCATTGGCTACTAGTGTGCAGACGGCGCACGAGTTTTACAAATATTTGTTTTTAGATTTAAAATTGACAACAACTACCGCATTAGATACAGCAACCAATTCAACTACTACTCTAAATATCCATTTTAATTTTATAAGAGCGTCTAAAAACAAAAAAAAAAAAGAAAAATTAACATAGCAACAAAAACAACTTCAACTTAACCACAGCGAACCATTCATTTAACTATAAAATTTTATTATACTACAATCTTTTTTAATTTTTAAGAAAACTTTGTATGTATTCATGTAGTTTGACATTCAAGCTCGCCACGATTTCAACAGCAAATAATAAAGAGCCACCTATTCAGTTAATAAATAGTTCACTGTTGTAAGTTTTTTTGTTTTTATAAATTGATAAAAACAAAAAGTGATTGTACAAAAACAAAAATAAATTATCTAAAAAAAAATATATTTATAGGAATTAAGAGCTGAGCGTTTATGCTTAACAATAAAGTAAAACATTTTCGCAAGAAAATAATTTAGATATATAAATTATMCTACTGTGTTTTCATTTGTAAAATGATAAAGGGTGAAAAGTTTATCGTTTAGACATATAACGATAAGTCGCAAGACTATTAGACGACTTTTAGAAGTTTTTAGTGAAAAGATGGAGACAGTGAACGAGAGAGGGCGAGAGATCAAAGACAATTCTTGATTGGTCCAGAGTTTCAGGGAGGTCCGCTGCTCAGCAAAAGTTGATAATGTATATAATTGATATATCTCCGGTGGCGATTTTCTCTCTTTGGATTTGAATTGATAAGAAGCACTGGATATATGTAAAGCAACCACTATCGACAACTATTTTAAAGAGCGTTTTCAYAGGGACGCTACAAAAAGAAAACCGATAGGGACAGCAAACGTCGCCATATTTTTTCCGTTCTTTTGACATTTCTCTTCAGTAACAAGTCGAAATTATTACAACTTACTACCGAAATTCGGAGTCAGTGGTCTCAACTTTAAGAGCGCTACGTTGAATTTATGGTCAACATAATCGTCCTGTCAGATCAACAATTGAGCGTCTAGTGGAAGAAATTGAATTCACAGACACAGTACAAACTGTTCCCGTGCCAGTCAGTCTCTCACACGTCGATCTCAAGTGTTGGGCATCTCTGTGACGAATTCAGTTACTTTCACAAAATTCATGTGTAGCCCATTTATTAATTGAACGAATTAATATAGACCGAGACGAAGAATTTAATTTCATAACTACCATAAATAAGCTGAAAATATTCAGACCCAGGGTACAACATCTTTTGAAAATACACGGGGACAATTTGACTCTACATACTACAGAGAGGCATACTAATATCCAATCAATATTCGATGGATAATCTATAATAAAAACCCACTTGTAAAACTTAACGATTCAAACAGGATTAGACCGCCGAAATAATAGTCCTTGGCCGGTTAATATCAGGGCTCATTCCGCTAAGACGGTTATGGAAATTGGATAGTCTACTAGTGGGCTCTACCTCTTCGCAGTGAGTGATGTCTGGAGTTCAAAGAAAAACTTCAGAGGCCAGTATGATTCCCGCGCAATAGCCTTCTCATGATTTCAATATGTTAAACTCTTACTGATCTAGACTTGACTACGCTACTCCCATGATGACACTGAGCTTAAATACGTTTGAGTTGAAATTTTAGAAAGTAGATAACTTCTGGTATATAGATAGGTATAGTTTACTTTAAGATCGTGGTATTTTTTTGTCGATGTCGAAAACAGAAATCTGTTCCAGTATTACAATTAAATTGTAAATAATAGATATTAGTAAATAGTTGATCCATAAASTAATCAATTATTCTCCGATAGTTATACTACTGTGAGCAAAAAATAGCAAGACTATTCAAATAAAATTTCGAAAACCCACTTGTAGAAATATTTTTTTCTGAGTTTTTATGTCAGTGACATTTATGCCAAATGTCACATCAAACATACAACAAAGAAGTTTCATTAAATTTTGTGTGCGGAATCGAAATTTGGTTCCCGAAGCGTTCAGAATATTGGAAAAGACCTTCGGAAGGATCACTGAAATTTGAAAGATTATTTCGACCTAAGAAAAGTGAAAGCACGATTGGTTCCAAAATCACTTAATTTGTTCGAAAACAGCGTCGGGTTAACGTTTTTGAAACAATGCTTTCCGATTACCAGAATGTAATGAAACGTATTATTACTGGCGATGGCTGTTGGATCTATGCTTACGATCCGGAAACAAACGATCAATCGGCCGAATATTGTGGCAAAAGTGAACCGAAGCCGAAATAAAAACGTCAAAGCAGGTCAAAAATCAAAGTTATGTTGAAAGTTTTCGATTATCGAGGTGTGGTGCAGTGCGATTTCTTTCCGACCGTCCAAAATGTCAACAAGGAATACTATTTGAGTGTTAAAGATGTGTATAAGAGACAGCTTTCCGACCGTCCAAAATGTCAACAAGGAATACTATTTGAGTGTTAAGCGTTGGTTCCGCGAAGCTATTCGTAAGAAGAGGCCGGAATAAAGGGCCAATAATTGACCACTCTGGGGACACCGTTTTGACTCAATTCAAGATATAAAAGCTGAAAAGAAGGCTCTGATGGCCACTACGACGGAGGATTTTTCCAAGTGCTATGACAATTGGAAAATTCGTTGGCATAAGTGTATTACAGCGGGAGGGGATTAATTTGAAGGAGATGAAATGGTCAAAATTCACCCTTCAATTTCATCACATTAGTAAATTATTTTTTAATGATCTTGGGAAAAAATATAAACGTAAAAATGTATTGATTGATTATGCATGGGGATCAAGGGGGAATATATAATAAAAAAATTTTGCCCGATACAGACAAACAGACAGCAGTAAGAAGTTCTGTTAGAAGTTCAGGCTTATAAATTTTTTTTTTGTTATTGTATTATTGGCTCTTGTGACTTATGGAAACGATATTCAATTAATTTAAAGATACAGAATTAAAATCACTTACCTGTTGTTCAGCAACCCACGTAGAAAAACTTCTTTCCAATTTATTCAAAGTAAGTGCCAATTAGGTTGAAAAAACTAAAAATAAAACCAAAAATTTAATACATTTGTTTTCAGCACAAAAAAAAAAACACACAAAAACCAATATAATAAAAAACTAAAAATTACAAAATAATACAAAATATAAATAAACAATTTTAAACAGAAATTTATAAAAAAAAATTAATTTAAAAGAACTACAAAAATACATMATTTTTCATATTTTTATTCATTTGTTGTAATTTTATTTGTTTTGTGTGCAAATAACAATTTTTGTCATACATTAGTTATTATTTGTATTCTTTACTAATTTACCATTTGTGCTTTCTCGGCTTGCAACAATAGTATACACACATACGAGTATGCATGCAGGTAGTTATAAATAGTATATATGTATATTTTTTTTGTTGTTTTGATTTATTTATACTTCTTATTTTTGTTGTATTTAAACTACATAGCTTTGGTATTTTCTGTATTTTTATTCAAACTACATTTTCTGCTATTTTTGTTCTGTTTTGCTACGCGGTACACCTTTTCTAGAATTAATATTAGTCGAAGAAGAAGAAGCATCGATTTGTCCATAACTTCCTACAATGTCGATGAGCCGCAGCATAACAGTATTTATGCGCCATTTTCTCATTTTATATAAGAATCACGCAAAAATCCCTGTTAATACCGTTATAATACTATGATCAAATTGAAAGGTGAATTTTTAATTTATGCTTCGCGTGTTTTTTCGATAAGTTGGTAGTACTGTTAGTGACATCTAAATTTCACGTCAAAATATTCATCAGTATTTAAGATACGCGTCGTTTTGTGGGGCTCTAAAAGTGTATTCTTCGATTTTTACTATGTGTGAATTTATTGAACAAAGAGGTGCGATAATGCACCGTCGCTTTTGAGAATATAAAAACTGAATCGCAGATGGCTCTGATGGCCATTAAGACGGAGGATTTTTCCAAGTGCTATGATGACTTGGCATAAGTGTATTGCAGCGGGCGAGGATTACTTGTAAGGAGATGAAATGGACAAAATTCACCCTTCAATTTGATCACGGTAGTAAGTTTAGGTTATAAACGATATCTCCAAAAAATTGTACAATTTTCGTTTTCTAAATTATGCTCCTGTATTATACGAACATTTTAAAGCCTAGTGTCCTATTATCATACATTATCATGTAAAAGAGATMAATATATTTTGCTAGGATAGGGCTTCTTGATTACAGACTCTGTGTTATTAGAAATACTGTTAGGGCGTTAATCTCGATTTTAGACCCCTATTTTTGTATTATTTATGTGTCTTTATATTTAGAATAACAACACAATGAATTCARATTGTAGGTCAAAAAATGCCCTACAACTTTGGTTTAAGGTTTTTTTTTGGATTTATATGGTTCAATTTCTCTCCTAAAAATAATTTAATATATGTAGACCTTCCACGAAGAAAAAAAAAAACCTAATAATTTACGATTAGCATGAAAACTTCGAATAGGGATGAAACTTGTTGTTGTTGTCTCAAATATCAATTCCCACATATTGATATTTGAGACCTGCCGAATTAAAAAAGTTTCTGAAAGTTTTTGTTTGGGAACACCAGTCTTAGTTAAAAATGAATGTGAATCACTGTCTTAACTTAAAAAGAATAAAAAAAAATCAGAAAATTTTTGCGTATTTAATGTGAAATTATTTGGGAATACCTATCTTAACTGAAAAAAGTTTATGAAATTTGTCGCCCGCTTAATGTGATTTTGTTTTTGGAACCTCTGTCTTAATTTAAAAAAATTTAAAAAATTAAAAAAAGTTCTTCAAATTTTCGCGTACTATGTGAAATTTTTTGGGAACACCTGACTTAACTAAAAAATGTTTCTAAAACATGTCGCGCCTTTCATGTGAAATTGTTTGGGAACCACCGTCTTAGTTAAAAAAAAGTTTCTGAAGCTTGTCGCTCACTTATTATGAAATTATTGGGGAGACCAATTCAAGTCGCTTTCTTAATGTTAAATTGTTTGGGAACCCCTGCCTTAATAAAAAAAGAGTATCTGAAACTTCTCGAGCACTTAATGTGAATTTTTGTGAGTCTGTAATAATAAGACTCAAGCARCTCACGACTTCTGGTCTTAGACCAAGTATCCTCTGGGTAGCCAGAAAACACCCGTTTGAAGGTGACCWAAAGTGAGAAGGCGAAACATCCCTTCCCAGGGTTGTGCGCTGGGTTTGRGACCYGTCACGTAAAAAACCCWTCAATAMAAAGAAAASTCGGCTATAATCGTGTAAGCGGTGTCTACGCCAATTAAGAAGAAGAGTAAGGAAGACATTACGTTAATGTCCCTGTCTAACTATACAAAAATAACCCTGCTATTTTGGCGTATGAAATTATTACTAAATATTTTGAATTAAATTTACTCTATGACATCAGGCTAAGTTAAAAGGTCGATCGATCACTTGGACAGCTGAGAACGCCGGTCCGTTGTTAAATTGAGTGTACCGCTATTATTGCAACTTATATTTTCATTAYACTCTGTGGCCAAGAAAATATACCTTCTCTTTGATATTTAASAGAAAGATAATYTTTTTCCTTSCCGAAAACCATTTTCAAACAGTATCTGAATTCGTATAGGCTTAGCGCCTTATATTTGTAAAAACTATTTTTACTGTCACACTGTGTTGATAATATTTAATTCATTTCTATAATCTATATTAAAATTATTATTTTTTAAATAATATTTATAACGTATATTTTGCTACAATTTCCTACTACTTTTTTGCTATTTACTCATTTGCTAATTTGTTTTGCGACTAAATGCTGTATTCGCTTTGAATTTCAATAATGTATTTTTTTATTTATTATTAAATTATTTTGTTTATATTCCATAAATGTTCATCCAAAACTTACTTGTTTATTTTTATTTTATAAAAAATTTCAATCTAAGGCAACTTTTAACATTGATATGAGTAGTTTTCCAAGTTATGCTTGATTATGTAGGTATGTATGCAAGTACGTTTATGTATAATTTGCTGATTATGATTGTGATTTTGTGCAGGTGTTTAACACTAACAACATTGTGATGATTTCATATGCGTAAAATTGGGTGGGCAGTGGGCATGCAGACTTCAGTGTTTAAGGTGCTGTTATAAAGGGTGAGGGTTTGCAGAATGCAATCTTGTATTTTAACCTATTTAATTTACGTATGTAGTTGAAAATTAAAGGAAACTGATTTGCATTGTTTAATCGGAACTAAAACAAAGTAAGTAAAATGTTGATTTCATTTACGGATTGATGTTAGTTATACGCCCTGCTGACTAGAATATGACGATTGAATTAAGTGATAAAAAAATAATATTTACAAGTACATATCGTCACCTAAAATGCAAAATAACATAACACCACTTTTAATAAATTTTCAAGCAATGAAAAAAACAGTATAATGGAAACCACTTATATTGAAATAAAATTTGAGGTTATAAATTGGGGTTATCTGAAAGCGGAAGCTAAAAATTTTGTGCAATAAAAACTCAGCTTCGACTTTTTTGATGATACGTTGTTTTGTATTTTAAGTGACGACATGTACTTTCAAAATTGCCGTAATAAAATATTAAATGAGTTTTTCAAATATTTTTTAAGTTACAGGCATTTTTTGAAGAGACAAATGATCCGATCACTATAAATTTTTTACTGCATGTTCTCWATATAGGCCGATACCGATTAAAATTTTGCACAGAATTCAACTTTTTTTTAAAAAACTACACGATTTTCTCAATGTTCCTTTTTTTAGGCCTTGGGTCATTGTACGTACTTCGGAGATCGCATGTAATTTAAAAAACCTTTGATAAATTTTTTTTTCAAAAATTTTACCGATTTTTCGTTTTAATGTGTATTAATATTAGGGTGGGTCAAAAGGAATATTTTTTCACTTGGTACTCTGAAAAATAGGTTCATAGATACTTCTAAGAAAGTCTCTCCAAGTATGAGCTGGAGAGCGGGAAAGCCCTGCTTGCAGTAGTCTACTTTTTCTTGTTATCAGATATAAAAAATTCCAATCTCGGGTCCAACTGCTTAAAAAAAAAATATCTCGTTTAATAGATTGTARGAAATTCAGTGCTCTACAAAAGTCTTTTGCGTATACCTAACCGTTTAAATGTATTTAATAGTTGAAGTTTGATTATTTTAAGGCAAATTATTTTTCTTATTAAATTTATAACTCAATAACAAATTATTTACTCAATCAAATCAATTTACTGCTCCACAACATGGGTCATACTTGGAAAGACTTTCTAAGAGATGTCTAAAAGCCTATTTTTCAAACTACCAAGCGAAAAAACAAAATGTTTTTTTTTTGACAAACCTAATAAATATAACCACGTAAGCAGTGTTTACGCCAATAAAGAAGAAGATTAAATACACCCTTAAGAACAATGGATAAAAAAGATTTTTTTCACTTCCTAAAAGTCGCATTTTTTGGGCTCTCACACCCGTGCCCGTTAAAGGTTAGCTGAAAATCTTTTATAAAGCTTTATCTACCAAGAGTGAGTTCTAATATAATATAACATAACATACATAATAATAACTAAATCATTAAATTTATACGAGCGAGTATTTCAATGCTCACCTTATTTAGTGAAAATGTTTGAACATAAGATGTTATCCAATTGAAGTTAGCCTAGCTACTTTGTGATTGCTGCATTTGTGTGAATGGAGTTGTGCTTGAGCTTCGTTTTAGTGGTTTAGTGCTGATTGTGATATGTTTAACGAGTTGAATGTGCGTACATTTGAGTGTTATAAATGCGCATATGCTTAACCATATTTTATATGTATGTGTGTAGTATGAATGATTAGATGAGAGCCGCTATGTGGGTTATTTCTCCTAAGTATAGGAATATGATTACTTGTATGAGGGTATTTGATTTTCCCGCAAATRTCTGAGATCAATTTCTATACTGCTTTCGTTTAATAATTCGTTTTGCTTAATTATGTACCGTTAGGGATACAACATATTTGTTGGAGTTTAGCATATATATATGTGTGCTTAACCCATTATACTAGTCGATGCATAACTGCCACTTATTAGGGGTTCACGTGAATTGACGGATGTATTGGATGGATCCAAATGATGTGCCTCACTGGAGGAGAGTGTAAATTCCGTCGACGTTTCGACAGAGTCATGTTGACTTTGTGTCTGTTCATGACGACGAGGTTTGGCGATGATCATGGCATCTTTGCCACCTGGCGTGACACCATCGGTATGTGATGCTGGATAGCTGGAGACACGTTTAAGCGACTGAAGGTTCGTGGAGGAGCACAGAAAAAGAGAAAAATTAGTATTGAGAAGTTATACCTAAATATATATTATTATAAATATATACATATATGTACATTAGTAGTAATTATGAATAAAGATATAGCTTGCGCCAATTGAGGGAATAACGGTGGTCTGTCGATTGCTAAATGATTTTAACATATTTATTAATAATATATATCTACTATAATTTAGAATACAAAAAAAAAAAAAGAAGAAACAATTAACAGAATAGTCTCTATATGCTACACTTCTAACAGGGGTAGCAATCATTATACATTTTTGTGGTATCCGTCTAAAATTTTTTTTATTTTATTTAAATTTTTCTGAATTTTACATATACCCTTCATAATTACATTCCTTATAAGAACTTGTTTTTGAATGGACAGTTTGTATGCCATGGTGGTCCGATCTGAAAAAAATATATCCAGTTTTTCATCGTTGCTTTGGATGCCAAATTTAGTAAAAATATCTCCTTAAATGAAAAGTTTTCCATACAAGCACTTGATCCCCCTTTCAATTTGTATGGCAGCTATATTATATAGTAGCCCGATCTGAACAATTTTCTCGGAGACTATACTATCCCTTTAGACAATAAGACATGTCGACTTTCTTCAATATATCTCGTCAATTGCGGAAGCTTTCCACACAAGAACTGCATTCCGATCGTTCAGTTTGTATGACAGCTATATGTTATAGTGATTCGATATGAACAATTTATTAGCATATTWCACAATTGCTTTAGATAATAACCCAATATTAAAATTCTTGAAGATATCTCATCAAATAAAAAAAGTTTTTCATACAAGCACTTGGCTCCGATCGGTTAGTTTGTATGGCAACAATATGTAATAGTAGAACGATATCGGCGATTCCGACTAATGAGTAGGTTTTTGGATAGAAAAGTACGTATGCAAAAAAAAAAAAAAAACTGATGAACTTAGATCGGCTATACATATATAGACGGACATACACACGGAACTCTCGTAATCGTCTCAGCTGATTGATCATGAAAATCATATTGTCTCTCACGTTTCCTTCTATATGTTAWAAACGTCGTGCTTAGCTTATTATACCCTGTTTAGACTATCCAKATTCTTAACGTAACTTTACCTAATTTGGTTGACAGCTATAAACGAGTTTAAGAAGAAGTTGAAAAATAAAACTTCAAAGCTTAGCTCAATAATATTCCCAAAATATAATAAATTTTGTTTACATTCACACGTCTTTCGAACAAGCTCCAAACTTATGGTCATAAAAAACTATATTCCTTGTTCAACTCAGAAAATACCAGCTTTTGGGTAATAAAATATTTAAAATAAATTTCGAACTAGTAAATAATGATTGCTTGCCGCCCCTTTCAACTACAAATAAAGTCAACTATGTAAATTAACAACACTATATGCACATACGACTTTATGTGCTGCTTTCGTCCGGTTCGTTCGTTCGGTTATTCGAGTACAGTTGCTCCAATACTATCTAGTAGAAATATACAAAACCTTGTCGTTCAATGCCGCCTCAACTCCATTGGCAGTGGACATGGATTCGTTGACGGGGCAGATATTTTTGCTTGATGAGAACTTCTTGCGTTTCTTTTTCAAAGCGGCTATGGCAGTTAGACCTGCGGGGTTTAATTCAAAATGTAACAAATTATGTATGTTATTGGATTTTGCAATATATTGCAATACTCACCGGTTGTTGTATGAAAGAAGTGTGAAGCGCCGCCCCCGCTGCTGCTGACACTGTTACCGCTACCGCTATTCAAGCTGCTGCTGTGTTCCTTCATAAATGTACCGGCATGTAGTGGATTGTGTGTTGGTGTGTGGTGGTTAACATGACGATTGCCGGCTGTCGGTTCTCCATTGGATATATACTGCTGTGCGGAGTTTTGTGCATATGTGACATGCACTTGACCATGGACTGGCGATGAGTTGGCAGAAGAATTGCAGACCGAATCCTCAGATTTTGAACGTCCCAACATTTTAGAGACATTCCCTACCTTAGCGGCCTCGATTAGTGTGCCTAAGAATTGCAAGAGAAGAGTTGGATATTTTATTGAAGATTCAAAAMTACGAAGCTAGTCATTATGTAATTAAAAGGCTGATGAAATAGATGCTTCCAACTCAAATCAGAGATTTACAGAACGGAATATTTTGCTACTTCAACATTCGAGTTTACGTAAACAGGTAAGTCCTTGATTTATAACTGGCAAAAGGACTGTGGCATTACCAGAAACTGTTTTAGAAATATTTTAAGCTACAACAACAGCAATAACAAAATTTTCGATGCAGTGACGAAAACATATACAGCGCATATATGTATGTAGTTGTATCCGAATCCGCTTTTCTATCCCAGAAGAAAGACTAGTTCTTGTTGTAGCGGCAGATTTCTACCAAGTTGAAGGTCGTAGGCCCGACTGTCGTGGAAACGCGACAGACTAGTACATTTATATGAGTCTACTGGKTATGGACCGCAGCATAATCGGTGGATAACCATCTATCTGACCTGTTAGAAGAATGTAAGTTTTTTCTATAGAATGGTAAAAAAACCTCTACCGATCTCCAGTAGATTATTACTTCAGCATCTCCCCATAAGATTAAAATCCGCAGAGAAAAAGAGCAACTTGCTCCAAAAAAAAGGAACCCCGAATTTTTAAGTTCGATTTCAGTTCATTTAAGTAACCGGTGTTTGAATGAAGGTTTGGAAATGAAAAATTAACKGTGATTCGAGTTTTTACTCACCCCAACGCTTTTTGTGACCCGCGATGCGTTTGTTGTGCGGCTTCAATGCCGATTTATTATATTTTGTTGTTGTTTGTATTGTGGTAGTTGTTGTCGGAGTAGCAYTATTTGTTGGTGATTCCTTGCCATTCGTATGAYCATTCTGATGATTCTTCTGTATAAAATTTGAATTGAAAAGATTCGACAGCGTAGAGCTGAGTATTTCGTGTTGTGAGTCGAARTTGTCTAACGAGGTAGAAAACTCGGCAACCGGCGCTAGCGAACCCGTCGAACCGGGTGGCGCAATGTTGAAGCCTTTCATAAGCCGTCGCTCCTTCTGACGATTTTTCTTGCCGCCACCACCTGTAGAAAGCGAAAGAAGAACGAAATGCAGGTATTAATATACACACACATTTTGTAAGCCACCACCTACCGCCTTGTCCTGCTGTCACATTTGTATCCATGCCGCTATTCTTCAAAATCTCCACGAGTTCACAACGGAATGCCGAGATATCTTGCTTAATTTCGTTCACATCATCTTCGGTGACACCCTGCGACTCGGCTTTACGTTGCTCGACGGTCACATAACGACGTACCAAGTTACGCATTATTTGCTGGAAGCGTTGTATGTAGGTATTATATAAATATTCTATAGTGTTTACCGTTTGTTTTTATTGGAAATACCTGATATTTGAAATCGCGATCACTYGCCTGTTGAGCTTTGCGCTATTGAAATAGAAAAATTGTTGTATTTTTAATTTCATTACATTTATTCGTGGTATTTATCTTGTTCTTACTCTTATTGTCTTCAGATGCTCTCGTCTGGCCGCTGACGATCCACTGCAGAACACCCTACGCGCCCACTTGAACACATACCATATAGATTTCGGTGTCGGTATTATATTAAATGGCGGTGGACAGGTACCACCTTCCTCGAAATAACTTATCCATAATTTAGAACGCGCAAATTTCCACTCGACATCAGCGCGTTCCTAAAAATAAGAAATTATCAACAAGAGAAAACGAGAACTTTGGGTGACTTCGGACAGTTTGTATATCCAATGCGGTCCGATCCGAAGAATTTCCTCGGTGATTATAACATTGTATTAGAAAAATAATTCATGCAATATCTCTTAAAATCAAAAAGCTTCCCATACAAGAACCTGATTGCGATCGTTCAATTTGATGGCACCTATATGGTAGAGTTGTCCGGTCGGAAGAATTTCTCCATAAATGTATTGTTGTATTGGAAAATAATGCATGCAAAATTTCATGAAGATATCTCTTCAAACAAAAATGTTTCCCATACAAAGATTTGATAGCTATCGTTCAGTTTGTATGACAGCTATATGCTTTAGTGGTYCGATCAGAAGAATTTCTTCGGYGATTATAACWTTGTATTAGAAAAATAATTMATGTRAAAKTTTGTGAAGATATCTCTTCAAATAAGAAAGTAAACCATAAGCTTCTTGGGAAGAAACGGACGTGTGAAAAATCTTTGATATATGCAGACAGACGGACATGGCTAAATCGACTCCCGCCACCCGCGGCTTTCTATTCCTTAATTATATAATTATTGTTTTAAGTCTCACAAGCTTGTCCCTGGGTGACAGACTTTATAAGCAAACTACCAAAAAGCTTACCGAGATTAGTTGATACGAATGATTCATCATTGCGATGAGTAAATTCAGCAACACCACTATGTTTATAACCGAATATGTGCCGAACATCAGCATACCCCAAAAGCGCGTGAAAATCTTAATACCATCCAACTCAAAGCTATCCAAATCGATTAAACCAAAAACGGCCCAGAAGAGGGTTTGAGTGGTYTCGAAAAGACTAAAACGATACAATAAACATAAAAATTATTATTTTACTGAAAATCTCTTGTGAATACCAAATTCATTATACTTTGAAAATCGACGCCAAACAATGCAAGCGTTTGCATCCGTGGTGCCGTTCATGGTGAGGAGCACATTTGAGGGCGACACTTCCGGACAGCGTTTCTTTTCCAAATCAGCATAGTACCTGTAAAAAGCGAAGTTGTATTATATGATAGTAATTATCAATTTAGAAAYTTAAATTTATGTGAACACTTACCACAACAGCTGGTTCAAGCCACTGCCAAAAGCGAATAGAACGAGCACGTACAAAAAGAAAAACTTCATGATATCCATAACCATACGCGACAGGGACACTTGCAGTGGTCCCAAATGTGGATTCACCGAAAAGATGTATACCAATTTGAGGCTACTGAAAATGTTTGCCGCACTAAAGAGGCCTTCCGAGATAAGCATTGGATCCCAGGTGTCCCAACGCTCACGCGGCAAATCGGTGGCTTTCGGATTAATGATCATTTCTTTTTGCACCTGTGTGTGTGGGAGTGTAAAAATATATAAGAAATTAAGCACAAGTAAAAGTAAAGTCAAACAACCTGAAAGAAGGATACCACGCGCAAAGCCACTGTGGCTACGTACAATGAATTCGTTACGAAATCGATAACATTCCACATATCGTTGAGATACTCTTGTAGGCCAACATCCCACAGCTGCTTCACTTCGCTCCAAATTAGCCCGGAAACCCATGCCAGTATCAGCCACTCGATAAAAGTCGGCTTTGCGCCACGTTTTGTCGGCACTTCTTCCACCTCGGCGATTATGTTTTGCGAATCACTCCAAAACCAGCCACCAATAAAAGTCTCAATGCGCTGTGAAGCGAGCATCAGCAGAACTGTATTAAATAGAGGACACTTTAATATAACTTGCCTTGCTTTATTTTGATAACACTTACAGAGAAATGTAAAGTAGGAGGCACTATGACATATGAATTTTATAAATGGTTTACGCATTGTCTGTCCAATACTGGAATATGGTGCCAAGATGTAAGCCAATGAGAAAATCGGAAACATTATACCTGCAATAATTTACGAGAATGGAGATGCAGAAATATTGGCTCAATAGTTTAACCCAGAAAAATAATTCATACCGATTCTTATAATATCCAATGCCTGCAGTGCCATATTCTTGCGTCGAAACCCTGGCAGACCCTCATACCAAATGCTCGCCAACAGCTGTTGCACATTGGAGTGTGCGACAAACTAGACCAGWCATTAAGTAATATTAAGTAAAACGTAAACATTATGACTGACAATACGCACCTTTTTCTGTCGCAATTTGATTGCCAATTTCAAGCGGTTTAAATGCATACGCTCGCCATGTTCATAGATTGGTCCGGTGGGATCATGATTTAGTAGGATTTCCAATTCGTGTGAGGTGCGTGTGTGATCGAGCAAAGCGGTGGCGAAGTCTTGGCATTGTTTACGCAATTCCTGATATTCATTCTGCAATAGCAAGGAAGTGAAGTTCATRCTCAAGACAGATTCTTTCACATTTCCTAAAGTACTTACCTTAAATTCATGTTCGAGGAAACTTAAACGTCTCAATTCCCATGACAATTCAAATGCAGTTAAAATAGGATCCTTCGATGACAATGCTATGAGGCTGGGACTGGCCAGCGAACGGTAAGCGTTAATGCGCGAACGTGAGTGTCGCAGTGAATCCTCTTGGCGTGATTGAACACATTCGTCGCAGCCGCATCTGTAAGGCATTTTCCGATGTATTAAAGTACTTTTAAGTTGAAGAGCTTTAGGAATAATTTCTAATGAAACTAAAGAAATTGAAATTAAGAAAATGAATAGCTGCTGTAAAGAAGAGAGTTCTGTGAAATAATTAATCCTCTTGGCTTGTCCTATCCAAATCCTGCGCCACCTACAAAACATTTTGTAAAAACAAATCCGGGAACATTCCGGAAATGTTGACTCGACTGCCGTGGAAAAGGAGCAAGTTCTTGTAATTTTTCTCTAGTTTCACAAAGAAGAACGAACGAGTCCCAATACCAATGATAACTTCGTTTAAATAATAAAGAATATCTTCGGTCTACCCAGCTTAACRTAGATATGTATATTATACACACCTTACATCATGCGGCATTGGCAGTACAGCTCCACGATCTAGTAAAATTTTGATTATCTCATAGTTGTCACGATGTGCGGCCAAAATAAGTGGCGTTATATCGGGTGTAAATGTTGAAGTATCCTCCGATTGTGATTCCCAGCTCTACAAGCAGAAATTGTCAGTATAAATATATTTATAGCTATTGAAATATCACAAAAGGACTTGCATGATTGCCCTCCGTGTGAAAGCTGACATTCTCATGATCCAAAAGCACCTCCACAGCCTCCACAAACTCCTCTGAAATAGAGTGCAAAAGCGCATCCTTCGTATCAACATTATAGCTGATGAGCAATTCGACCATTTCCAAATTCTCATTGTCGATAGCCATGAGTAGGGCAGTGCGTCCCAAAGGATCGACACAATTTACATTGATGTATTCGGTATCCTGCGCTTTTTGTAGCATCCTAAAATCGAAAAAGTGTATGTGAGAATTTTTGTTTAGTAAATATTAAGTGCCTATGTATGTATGTTAGTGTGAAAAAAATCTCTGCAATGCTTTTAGCCTGCATTTTATACTAGATGCCGGTGATCATTTGAAATTTCCCATTTCCATGTAACAAATTTCATTAAAAATACTGTAACTTTTGAGCTTAGAATAACAATTTTTTTCAGTGCGGGTAGCTGTAAAGCATAATTTTTCTAAAAAATGTTTATCGGTGAAATTTTTTTCAATCCAAGGAAATTTTTTATCAAATCATGGACATTTTTTTCAATTAAAAAATGTGTATATTTAAAAGCTTTGAAAAGGAAAAAACTTTGTAGAGCATACAATTTACTAAAAAATGTTCATCGAGGAAATTTTTTTCTATTCAGGGAAATTTTTTTAATTAAAAAATTTAATAAAATACTCTACAAGAATTAAACATTTTCATCTCTCATTTCAATCAAGCCAAGCCATATATGTAATTATAGTCCAATACATTAGGGTGAGCAAAAAAAAAATAAGAATAATTGATTAATTAAGTATATTTAGAAATTTTTTGGCTTTCAAAACTTTAAAATATAGAAATTTTTTTAATTAAAAAATTTTTTTCTAATTTCTAATTTCTAAATATACTTAATTAATCAATTATTCTTATTTTTTTTTGCTCATCCTAATGTATTGGACTATAATTATATGGCTTAGTTTGATTGAAATGAGAGATGAAAATGTTTAATTCTTGTAGAGTATTAAATACCAAATTCCTAAACAACCTTCATCGTGGTAATTCCATGTTTTTTCAATTAAAAAGTTCTAATATGTTAATGATTTAAAAAATGCAAACAAAATCAAAATTTTAATTTATTTTCTTAGAGCAAGGATATTTTCTTTGTATATGTATAAGTTATTTCAACATACAAATTCGATATTAGTTTTTTTGTTGCTCACTCTACTATAAATATACAAACATATGTACATAAGTACATTTATCCATATGGATTGTATTAGCGTTATACTCGATTATATATCGAATTAACCGACTTACCTTCGTGTTCCTGCCATGTCGCCGCGCTCTACCGCCAGCAGAAACTTCTTCTCCTCCAAGGTTAGCTGACGGATCTCCTGATGTGGCCGCACAATGTTCTCCTCCTCCATCATGCCGTGTATGCTATGACGCTGTGAAATATTGCCATCATTTTATGGTTACTCAATTCACAAACTCAAGGCCAAATGCGCTTGCAAATTATTGAAAACAAACAACAAGACACATAAATAATAGTACATATATACATATSCAAATATGCATAGTATACATACATATGTACTCGCTGTGCAAGTTTGTTTACTTTTAATGTTTGACATTTGTTTGATGTTGCATTTAACACGATTTTGCACGTGCTTCGGCGCTTGTTTGACACATGTGTTCACTTAATTCTCCAAATACATACTTATGCTATATATAACATATGTACTAATGTGTGTAGATATGTATGTATATATTTATTTATGTGAATAAATTCACGCACATACTCACCTTGACCTTTTTAGCCGGTTCAATTGGTATGGTCACATGACTGTTATCACTGTTCAAAAGGCCGCCAATCCCGTTATTGCCTCCACTACCGCCGCCACCTGTACCGCCGAGACCGTTACTCTTTTTCTCAGTATCCAATGCATCGGTACCATTCTTTATTTTACTCAAAATTGGCGCCAGTACTGATTTTCTACGCGCCGGACTCACAAAATGCAACTTTCTTCCTTCGTCTGCAAATAAAAATTAATGGGAAATTAAATATAAATTTATTATTATTATTACTTGACATCTTTTTTTTTTAATTCAATTAGTATTCTAGCAATTCAATTAGTATTCTAATAAATATTATTTACAACCTTTTTACTTGTTTATTAGAGGCCTATTTTTTCAAGGCAGACTACTGTCTGTCGGTAGCGCTGACGTAATTAACTTTGTGCGGACTTCGAACATAGCGGTCTGTTGTACCAAGAAAAAATGCCTGCTTTGAATATCATTAAGGTTAAGGCTAGCAAATTAGAATATCGTGCTTTTTGGATCTTGTAATGTTGAGACCACTATTTAGCGAAAGTAGGTGTACGGCAAGCGGACAATGCGATAAGTAATTAGATTAAATAATTAAAAATTACTAGTTAGTGATGAACACAGTTTTGCGTGATGCACAAGGTTAGATCTTCAACGACTATCTGGAGAACTGCGAAACCGTCAGAGGGCTCTATTATGTTGAATCAATGGTCCGATTCAAATTGAAAAATACATTTTCAATTTAGAGAAGAAAATAGTGCTCTTTCACTATGCCAGTTAAAAAAATATTAATTTGATAACACCCCTCAAAATCTGAAGGAAAAATTTACAATAGATGTGCTAAGATGTTTGTGGGGTATTTGAGGTGTCCTAATTACGAATTTGAGTTTAAAAACACTTATCGGACCGGTCTCTCGTATCCATTTGTAAAATTAAGCACTCTTTATTTTCGAAAAAAAATGTCTAAAGAAAGTAATGACTGCATAACGAGAACTATAATTTCTATTGAGATTGGTACCAAGTAGCACTTGTTATTAAGCGGGTTGCTTTGTTGGAACCACGGCTCTATTTTTTCAGTGTTTTTCAACTCTTGCCAACAGGTGGTACATCGGACTGGGTAATCAATTGAGAAGTAAAGTCCTTTCTCGAAGCACAAAGACTAAACTCTAGAAGTCACTCATCATCCACGTCCTGTTATATGGTGCAGAGGCATGGACGATGACAACATCTGAKGAGTCGGCCTTACSAGTTTATCAGAGCAAAGTTCTGCCGAAGATTTATGGTTCTTTGCGAATTGGCAACTGGCTACACTTGGAATCTCCAATTGGTTACAAACAGCGAAAAGAAGTCGTGTCTACGCTAATAAGGAAGAGARGAAGAAATTATCAGTGTTATTGTCAGTTTGCAAGACGGAATTGTCTAAAACTTCTGAAATTCGAGCAATTGAAATATTTTCTACTCAAATATATTATGAGAATAGTTCGGCCGCTTAAGTTATTCGAAATTTGTCTCTGAAAAAAATTCATAAAATTAATAGTTCCTCATGGACCTCATAACTGAGTTCCACCTGGTATCGCAAAACCTATCTGATTAACCTAACCCTAATAGATTATACAAAATTTTAATACAACATCGACGTAGTGCCAGTAATCGAAGAGTATGAGCGCAGAGATTAGTATTGGTTTACGAATTAAATATGAATGAATACGAAAGCCTTTTTTTAATTGAAATGGTCTTTAAGGAATTAATAAGATTAGGAAGTACTGATATTTTCAATGAATAATATTAGTAATACATTCAAATTTAGTTAGGAAGTTAGTGCTTATGGCATAAGATTAATAATTTGTGTACTTTACCAAATCAGTTTTACAAGTTTTAAAGCTGTCTCCTTAAGTTAGACACTTTATATACGAGTATACGCAGATTTAGACATATTGTATTTTAATATATTTGTGGGCATCTGTTAAAATAGAGGCGGTAAAAATAGTAAAAAAATGGGATTAAAAAAAAAGTGCTTTTCATGTGCTTGAAAAGAACATGAAAATCAATATTAAAGCATAATTCATTAATAAAAAGAATCCAAATGATAATAATAAAATTTAAAATAATATATTAAATAACATGAAATTAAAAGTGATCCATTTCGAGATTCCCTACTTTTTTTTTAAGAAAAGAAAAAACAGAAACTTGGAAGTTAAGGGGGAATGTTTATTATCATTGAAAAGAACATTCTTTGACATTTATTTTTWGCAGATTAWAWTTTTAAAATATTGGCCGCGGCYACRCCTCAGATRGTCCATCCGTTGAATSCAATTTTAGATAACTCGTTCAAGCATTTCGAGTGGTAACTAGCGAATGAACACATGATGTTTTGTCCCAAGGCCTTATTCAAGGCGGTATTGTCCGCATAGACTTTAGACTTTACTTTGGACTTTACATATCCCCGAGAGGAAAAATTCTAACGGTGTGATATCACACGATCTTGGTGGCCAATCGACCGGCCCAAAACGTGAACTTTTTTGCTTACCGAAGATTCTCACAATAAATCCGTTAATTGGTGCGATGTGCGGAAAGTGGCGCCGTATTGTTGTCATCGAGACTACGAGCTTTAATTTCACGCATCAAATAGTCAGTGACCATGGCGCGATAATCGTATTCATTGACGGTTACGTTCTCACCGCCATCATTTTTGAAGAAATATGGACTGATGCTTCCACCAGCCCACAAACCACTGCAAAACGTTGTTTTTTTCTGAATGAAATGGTAGCTCTTGAATCTGTTTAGGTTGCTTTTCATTACAAATGTGGCAATTTTGCTTGTTTATATACCCATTGAGCTAGAAATGGTCCTCATGGCTGAACAAAATTTGGCTCGAAAACGGCGGATCTTCTCGGAAGCCCATTAACCGAAACGAAGTTGCTAGGGAAGGTCGAGCGGCTTCAGTTCTTGCACAAGCTGTATTTTCTACGCTTTCAATTTAAGATCTCGACGTAAATGCGCCAAGTCRTTCCATAACGAATCRACTCTACACGGTTTCGTGTACACCCTCGGCTACGGCTGCTATATTTTGTTCACTGCGTGCTGGACGTTGTCTATTTGATCGAATATTATCTAATAATGAATGCTGGGTCTCAAGATGGGTGATGGTGTTGCGAATAGTATGCTCAGTGGGCCGATTATGTGGACCATAAGTTGAGCGCGAAACACATTCCTTTCAGAACGTTAAATTTCGTAATAAAGTTGAACGATTTGCAAACGTTGTTTAGGCGTAAGTCTATCCATGATAAAATGCCAAACAATACTGAACAAAAATAACACGACAGCTTGACACGACTCACACGTGATTTGTCAAGAAAAGGCTATTGAAAAATGCACCTCTACTTGAATATCACCCGTTAAAATATAATAATATTTAAAACATAAAAATATAGTAATTTGACACTGAAAATCTTCCAAAACAAGCCACTTTTCGTACGATATAAGTATCAATAATGTAATAACGAGAATAAAATGCCAAAACAATTCCAAGAACTCTATTAGATAACAAGGACRCAGATCTTCAATCAGCTTGAACTATGCCTATGAATATGGGTCACCTTGACGATTTCTGAATTTCTGTGCAAAACATATTTGTTTTGATTCTACAAAATTATGTAAATATAAATATTAATTAATATATTATTAAACATTGAATTAGCTTAGATGTAAGTGCACGTGTTCTTAAGTCTCTTTGGAAGCCTATAGCCACACAATTGTCAACAAAACAACAAAATATCAGGATTAACAGTCGAAAAGTCGCAGTTCATGCTCGTGCTTTGCGCACTTACCTATCACATCGATAGTCAATAACAACAAACACACAGTCATAATATACTCAAACGCATATGTACATACATACATACATATGTGTATGTATGAATGCATGTGTGAGCAAGAAGGATTGTTTATGTTTTGCCATTGCACTATCGTCAATGCACCCCAGTTTGAAAATCTGGGTCAATTGTTGCATTCTTGTGGTGTGTTACCGTTACCGTTCGTTATGTGTGGAAAGTGTGTCAGTTTTTGGCATTTAATTTGAAATGGCATTGAGTTGGTTACTCGATAAATTCGGTACAATGCAAAAATGACCTTTGCTTTTAATATTTTTTAATGCGTTCGTAACGAATATGTGTAAAAAGGAGAGGAAAATATTCGATATACACATAAGTGTGTGTGTATGTGTAGAAGAGTGTTTTGGAACGCAGGAAAAGGCTGAAGAAGATTAATGATTATTATTGAGGAAAAAAGGAATAGTAGAAGAGGGAGAAATTAATGAAGAATATAAAACCTAAGCCTGAATATGTCAGATTAAGACACGGTAGATTCTTGTCAATTGTACTCCTTCTTCATTATTGGCGTATACAACGCTTAAGTGGTTATAGCCGAGTTTACAATAGTAAGCGACTCGTTCTTCCCTTTCGCTGATTGGGGCCAATTGGAGATTCTAAAAGTAGCCAGCTCCTTGCACCCTGGTCTTTCCAAGCGATTGGAAGTCTTCATCTTCCTCTGATTCCCCCAGTGGGTACGGCGTCGAATACTCTCAGAGCTACTTATTCCATAATAATAATTATATCTGATACAAATTTACAGGGACCGACAAAAAATCTACATTTTTGTCTTTAAACATATTAACATCTTCAAAACAGGCTCTTGTGCCAATGCAAACCTGCTAATACTTGTTATAAGCCCCGGCTGGGATAGTCTTCATCGAATTTTGTTTTTATATTTTCGACACATTTTTGAAGCGCCATTTGCTAAATTTTTGGACAGCTCCGACAGAGTCGGGAGTTCATTCATGTTCCGTCAACGACCACAAAACGACAGGAACACCTTCGAATTGTACTTAATAAGTGTCACAAACTACTGTGGCCAGTCCACACTGAAATGAGGATCCACTGGTACATACCAGGGCTCAAGGAACAGTAGAAACTGAAACTGAATCGGTAAACGTTCTCTGAAGAAGGAAGTCTGTCCTATTAATCGG